CTAACCACTTGGTAGGCCTTTATCATTTCATTCTTCCATTAAGATTCATGGTAGCATCCACTAGGAGTTGTCAAGGAAGTTTTCTATGAAATCTTGGGATAGTGAAGAAGTGGCAGTTGTGACCCAACCCATTGTTATCAGAGATAAAACATCTGCCAGTGCATGGACCAACTCTCACCAAAGGTGGCAGGTCAGTCAGTAGCAACCCTTTCCAATTGAAGCTGAATTGTTACAGTGGCATCCCTAAAATCTTCTGTCTCATTCTGAAGCAATGCTTTGCTGCAGCCTGCAGAGCACCAGGGATCATCTATGCCTGTTTAAAGATTCCTTTCTCATCAGATTCTGGTAAGTTCTGACAGTGTGGGAGTCACCCAATTTTTACATTTGACTTTGGGATCATTACTGAGTGATGAGTCACTTGTTATCACTCTGAACTTTTTTGGTTCCCCATTTTGTGCTGATGAAAAGGTCCAAGTAGAAAAAGCCCTGACTACCAGTCGCAAGTCATGCAGCCCCCAAGGACTCCAATTAAGCAATGAAAAAAATCAGACATGTGCAGCATATATAAGATCAGTCTTCATTTCTTCCTGCTCTTTCCCAATTCCCTCATCATCAATCTCCCCATCATTTTCAATGTCCTTTCTTTGCCATTGTTGTTGTCCTCTCTTCTTCCCTGTCCCCCATCATCCTTGTCATGTAAGTGTGCTGATCGTTGTATCTTCACCTCGCAGTTTGAGCTTGATGACACATGTCTCATCATTGATCTAGTGTAAGTATATTACTATCACATTACTACCACCGATCAAGTATTTACTGTAGCTTATTAATGTCTACTGCTGTTGTTTCATTGCATACAGAACTTGGGTCACCTCTATGTTTGTGTGAAGGTGGGTACTCTTATCCTTTCACTTTGCTACCCCTTGGCATACCTCACAATGAATGTGAGCATGCAGTCTGCTAGCTGTGAATATAACCCCACAATGATCACATTTTTCTAGCAGACCTATTCTATCATATCTGCTAATTCCCATCCCAGACATGAGTGTGAGAAGCAGTTCACATTCATGGTCTGCTACCTCTGTGGTGTCATGTCTAGTGGTATTGGAGGTTGATGCTGGTGTGCATTGTCTAAGACTGTTATTACCAAGTAGTATATCTTTTGTGTGTGGGGTAATACCTTTGAAGATGTTGTTGGTTAGCTCAATGTGAATTGCTTTTACTGTGTGCAACTCACTGGAATGTGTGCAATGGCTGGTATTTGTCTGATGTTGTGGCAAAGTGAAGGATACCTCTGGCCCAATGAGTCTGTATCCATTGTACACAGAGGTAAGTGAGCCTAGGTATTCTGGGAAATATGGTGCTATTTCAGCATGTCCCATCAGAACATGGGCTGACTGTGCTCGAAAGTTCTGAAGAGATAGTTGACATCTGGTACAGTATTTTGGCCTGGGGCTACAAGAAATTGAGTGGTGTGGGAGGACAGGAGAACAAGAGAACCCACTAGCAAGTGGTGGAATTCCATCATAAGATGAAAGCAGCATGGCTGTATGGTGTGTCTCATTGAGATTCACTGTGAAGACAAAATGTGAATAGTTTGCAAAGCAAATGATGCAGGGCAACAACTTACACTGGAATCCACACAAACTGACATGAGAATGACAAAGAACTTCCATGCAAACTGTATTTGTACTGCTGACAGCAAAGTTGATGAAGTGCACTGGCCAAGGTTCATTGGAAAGGATACCACAGAAGCACTCCCAGAATGCACCACACTGTTTAAGATATTGCAGGATGCAACTAGGGACAATATGCCTTCCACAACATATGGGACTGTACAATGTGCATGTGAGCCTGAAATTGGAATGAGAAACAAAAAACTTACAATGCAATTTCAACAATCTGTTGAACATTGCAGGAATATATAACAAGTTCTGTGCTACTGCATTGTTGTGCCTGGCAGATAGCAAAGACTGGGTGACAGAGAGGCATAGTATCAAGGAGAAGTGAGTCTGAGAGGGAAATTGGGGCTGACCAGTGGGAGGACTTTGCCTTTATATGCTGTTATCAAACACTCCAGTCATTGAGCTATCTGTTACACATATTGCAGAATTATGTGAGAAGAAGCAGTAAGAAATGTATTGGTTGCTACATCCAAGAGAGTCTATGACAGGGCAGAGAGAATTCTTGTCATAGAATCACAGCATAGGGGAAAATGTTGCCACAAAGCTGCAGAACAATTGAATGTAAAAGACAGAGGAGAATGGTCTGGATTGCAAAAGGACACCAACCTAATGCCACTACAGTTGAATGACTGCACCACAGGTGGCCTGACATACACAGCATATTCTGTACAGACAATATCAGCCTATGTGATTGAATGCTGCACACACACCAAATTGAGATCACCATTGCATCTGACATTGCCCAGGTTGTCCTGGAAATACACTTGTTTGTCAAATGGTATGATCACTGGCATCAGTGCTATGTCTTGGCCTGTTGAGCACAATCAAATGTATTGCAGCAATGATGATGACAGGTCCTTGCAGAGTGCAGATGAACAAACAATGGTGTCCTATCCATATTTGGAAGGTGCCAAATCCTTGTGGATGTCAGTTCTAGGTCTCAATGTCTAGTGTGGGGATCAGTAGTATAAAGCAATGTCCATCATGATGTCAGTCACCCCACCTACCAGTGACTACAGATGGACCTCTCTGCCTCACAGAGGTATGCCTTAAGCCATGCCCATGCAATTCTTGGGAATGCTGGGCTATCACCAACCAATGTGAGTCAAAGTGTGGTTCAGTGGTGAAAACCAACCAAAACCAACACAAAAGACAAAAAGAGTGAGTGGTGGTGTGCCTATGTGGTACCTAGATGGTAGAACCTGTTCTTTGGGAGGGTTTGTGAGCTATAACACTCAAAGACAAGTGCTGAGGGATGGGGGTGCTCCTGACAAAGAAGGAGCAGGAATGCAAGAGAATGCAATAGGGTAGACTGCTGTCAGCCTACAGAAGGATGGATGATGACTTAATTTGATGCTCTGAGCTGCACTGAGCTCAGGGAGGACTTGGAGCAAAGTAGATTGATGATAGATGATAATAAGCAAAGTAGACAATAACTAGACCCTTAGTAATTGCAACTTTCCCCCCCAAACCATCCTCTCAGTGAAGCAAATAAAAACTTCATGAATGAGGCTCTGTTGGAAGAGAGGATGAAGGCAGAGTGTCTGCTGCTGTATCTTGCAACAAGGAGGCAAGATGTGCATCATAATCATCATGGATGTGATCAGGGAGAGTGGAGAACAGTAGATTATACTGTAGCTGTCACAATCTTGGAAGAATGACAGATGAGACTGGTACAAAGACATTGCAGGGAGCAGAGAGGAAGGATCCATATGCTTCTTGGACTGGGGAGACTGAAACAACCACATAAGACCTTTCCAAGTGAATGACAGACCTGAGGTGACCAAAGAATGTCCTCCTAGAGGTCATACTGACAAAAAGAACATGCTGTCCAAGCTGGATGGGCTGAGAGGGCACAGACAAGGGTGGGATGTACCAGGATGCTTCAGGACAGAAGCTGGTAGGAACTCCTGGTAGATATATGTAGCCATGGTCCCTAGCAAAGGGGACAAGCAAAATGACTGATGTGGAGGTGGCCATATCAGAAGAATTAGCAAAATGAGTGTCTTTTGGAGGGAGTGCTGTAGAAATGTGTGGAGTGCACAAATCCTTTCCAATTTTGGAAGGTAAGATTGCATGGCTGAGCACTACAAGCAAGTGTGGGAATGGTCTCAGTATCTGCAGAAACAGCAGAGATATGTTGAAAACTGGAATGCCATACACAGGTGCTTAAGAATTTTAACCAGCACTTAACTTGCTCCCTTTCTTTTTCTTTGGCACTGATGACTTGTTCTTGTGTGAGGGATGACTGCTGACATTTCTGGCTGTCCTTCTTTGCATGAGGGCTACAGTCTTCATCTCCATTCATCAGCTGTATCCATGTCCACCTCACCAAACACCTTTGGTGTGTGACAGCAGGCATCCAGTAATGATGAGCTTGTAGTTGCTTGTTAGCACTCTGAACTTTTTCAGTTCCCCATTTTGTGTGAGAGAAAAGCTCTGAGCAGCCTTGCAGACATCACACTGTGTGGACCCCTGGGACTGCTTCTGCCAGGAACACATACCCTTTTCAGGTAAGGTGAATCACATGGGAGGAACATGTCATTCTCTATATAATGGTGACCTCATAAAGTTCTTTCCTCTGCTTTGCTTTCATTCCCCCCACTTGTTGTCACTGATGTCATTGTCATCCTCCCATTCCTTTTCTCCTTGGCTTTGTGCTCATCCAGCTGCCTCTTTGTCTGTTGATCTTTCCCATTATTGATATTCTTGTTTCTGTTGCTTTTCCCTATGATATGACTGTCAAGCCCTTGCCAACCATCCTTCATGGGTGTTCACTGTTGTAAGTCAATGCTGTCCATTCTCCCTTACAGAAATTATAATTGTAATTGCTTGTAGTACTATCCAAGTGCACCCTCAAGTGAGCTGTAGGTTGAGATCACTGGATGGCTGGCTTGTACCCTTGGGTAAGTGTTGTATGTTGTAGCTGGTGGTCTATAGTCAGTGATTGTAATGCCTGCAGTTAGTGCATTGGCAAGTGTACTGTAAGTATATATCTGATATGTCTGTGGTTTATTTTGCTTGTGTTGATTGTTACTGTTCACAGGTATCATGTTTGGGACAGATGCAGTGGTTGGAATGTTTATGACATTGGTGGGTAGACTTTGTGTTGGATGGCTTCCTGCTTGCTTATGTTGTGTGTATGCTAAAATGTTCAATTAGTTGAATCTTGGTGGTGAAGTAGACTGGAACTTTACCCAGTCATGCAATTGACCTTGAGGCATGTCATGTGTGAGTGGCACTTTGATCTCTTGTATATACCCTGTTGTATTGATGAGTATGTATGCTTGCTGCAGCACAGTTGTTGTATGCCTTTCCTCACATTATTCCTCCAAGCAAGGTGAGATTTGTGCCATCACAGTTGACATTGCGATGTGCTTGCTCATTGCCATTTGTTGTCATTGGAGATGCTTTCCAAATCTCCTCTGGAATAAGACTCACTGGCCTATATATTTCCTTCAATCCAAATCTGTTGCTCTCCAGTTTATTCTTCAGCCATGCTTGAGTACAGTTAGTGTTTGAGGGCTGTATGACAATAGTAAATGCACCATTTGCCTTCTTTCCACCTGTTCTGATTATTGCAAGTGTGCAGTCAAGATCTGGTTGCTCCTCTGATGACAAGAGGCTGAGCATAGCAGCATATACTTCACTAGTTATGTAAGTTCTCAGCAGAAAAATATGATACTTGACATGTGTTACACAGAACCAATAGGACTGTGTAAGATGATCATAGGGATTGAGGTCAGAAAGCCAACAGTGTGGCTCATATCTATCTTGATGGTGGTCATTGTAGCACAAGGAAACACAATACATTCCAAGTCCTGTTGATTCCTTGAGCAGTGTTTAAAGAGACATGATGTGGTCTTACCAAGTGCTTGTCCTTTGTGTCCATCTGCAACAAATGAATGAAACCCATATCCATCTATGTGGTGGAATGCAACCAGCATTCCAGTGTCTGCTGATGCAATTGAGAAGATATGTTGAAAGAGAATGAAATGGGCCTCAGCAGATTGCAACATTGTGAATGCATGTGTGACAGCAATGGCTACAGGACATCAGTAACTCAACACAGACTCAGCAGGAAAGTACCTACACCACATCTGTTCATTATCCCAGGCTTCTATCTTGAACTCCTGCCACCCATGGACACATTTGAATGATGTGTCAATCAAGAGATGTCTCACATGCATCAGTTGTGATGCCATAAAAGGAGACATGCAAATAATGAGATGGAACACTTCGGAACCTGGTAGTGGGTGTACCTCGACACAACGGAGGTATGGTGGGTCATCAGATGGCTGTTGGAAGAGGTGTAATGCACCTAGGATGGTCAGAATTAGTTTTAAAAATAAATTTAGACTCCTTACCATCAATACTTGTCCCATGTGGGTACTTCTTCAGGTGATGTGCATTGATGAGCCACTGAACATGATCCAAATTTGCAAGGGATGGATGGGGGTCCAATAGTGTTATTGTTTGTTCACCTATCCACCCCAATTCACAATGTAAACCATACATGAATCCTGAATCCAGAACAATGTAGCATGGTGTTGTGTCCACTAAGTGCCAGCCCATGTCACACAGTAAGTTTGCAAAAATAGACTTAATTGTGGGAGGTGTCTTCACTGGTGAAAGGTGGTGGATGAGAGTGTGGATTGCAGCAAATCACGACCACACAGGGAAATTTCTTAAGGTCTTTTGGCATATAAATAACAAATGTTGCTTGGCATTTTTGTGGCCATGGACAAAGTTTGCCCTGTGCAAGCTTTCCATCTGCTGAGCGATGATAAAATTCTTGGAGATATTATCAGACTGTGAACTGGCAAGAAAATGGGTACTACATATGACAAACTTGTTTTTGTTCTGATGGAGACACCACAAAGGTGCATGGGACAAGTGGCCCATACCCACAGTACTTTGCCAGTTCCTCATGCTGTTTGATAGTCCTGGTATCACCTGAAATAAGTGCCATGAGATAGCTAACATCAAACTCTTGCAGGTTTTGTAGAACTAGGTGTGCACAGTCATGGCATGATCAATATTGACACCTATTATTAATCAGTATCTGGAAACTGTATAACACATAAGAAAATATTTACTTGCTGTATGAGAGGGTTGTTGAAACAGTCTCACTGGAGAATAGGCTTGCCTATACAATGATTGGCCACATGTTTTGGATGGCAGCTATTGCATTGATGACAGTGGGAGGCTAACACCATCTCTGCATTGCTCTCTGAGTCAGAATATGACTCGTCATGTTCTTCATTGTGCTGTATTATACCTAGGTACTCTGTAGCAGCAGTGAATGAGCACCCATGGTCCTGTAATGCACAAAAAAATGCCAATGTCTTCAGGAATACTTCTTGCACAGCAGTCTCAGCTGCAGAGAATGAAACTGGGGTAATTACATCACAAATGTGGCCACAGTTTGTGTATGCATGCATGGAAATTAGTTGGGATGGATCACAAGTGGAACCTATCTTGAGTCCCCTGCCTGCACTAACCCATTAACAGTGATCAAATTTACAATGAAAAGAAACTTACATGATGTATGTAAATGATCAGAAAGGGCAGGCACACCAGAGGCATCCTGGATTAAGTGGCAGTTGACACCCTTGCATCCACCATGGGTGTTGCCAAGTGAGTATTGAAATGAACTTTGTGGGCTATCATCAGCAGTAGTAGAGTCTGGATTTACAGTAAATATATGGGCAGTTTGCTTGCCATCAAATGCACCAGTGTGAGGATATTGATATTTGACAATTGTGCCAGCAGGGTGTTCAATGACTGCATTAGCCATCGAAAGTCTGTTTATGCAATTGCAACCTTCAGCCACATGATCAAGTGAATAGGGTCATGTGGGGGGTGGGATGTAGTGGGAACCATGAATGACTTGGGACACTTCATGAGGATCATTAGATGGCAAAGGGGATGCATAACAGGCTTGGGGTGACAAGTCATGACTGGATAGTGATGTGGAGGGGGTGAATGGCAGTGATGGGTAACTAATGTTGAGGTCAGTGTCACACACCAAAGGTGTTTGGTGAGGTGGACATGGATACAGCTGATGAGTGGAGATGAAGACCATAGCCCTCATGTGAAGAAGGACAGCCAGAAATGTTGGTGGTCATCACTCACACAAGAATGAATCATCAGTGCCAAAGAAAAAGAAAGGGAGCAAGTTAAGTGCTGGTTAAAATTCTTAAGCACCTGTGTACAGCATTCCAGTTTTCAACATATCTCTGCTGTTTCTGCAGATACTGAGACCATTCCCACACTCACTTGTAGTGCTCAGCCACATGATCCTACGTTCCAAAATTGGAAAGGATTTGCACACTCCACACATTTCTACAGCACTCCCTCCAAAAGATGCTCATTTTGCTAATTCTTCTGATATGGCCACCTCCATATCAATCATTTCACTTGTCCCCTTTGCTAGGGACCATGGCTACATATATCTACCAGGAGTTCCTACCAGCTTCTGTCCTGAAGCATCCTGGTACATCCCACCCTTGTCTGTGCCCTCTCAGCCCATCCAGCTTGGACAGCATGTTCTTTTTGTCAGTATGACCTCTATGAGGACATTCTTTGGTCACCTCAGGTCTGTCATTCACTTGGAAAGGTCTTATGTGGTTGTTTCAGTCTCCCCAGTCCAAGAAGCATATGGATCCTTCCTCTCTGCTCCCTGCAATGTCTTTGTACCAGTCTCATCTGTCATTCTTCCAAGATTGTGACAGCTACAGTATAATCTACTGTTCTCCACTCTCCCTGATCACATCCATGATGATTATGATGCACATCTTGCCTCCTTATTGCAAGATACAGCAGCAGACACTCTGCCTTCATCCTCTCTTCCAACAGGGCCTCATTCATGAAGTTTTTATTTGCTTCACTGAGAGGATGGTTTTGGGGGGAAAGTTGCAATCCCCTATGCTTCTGTCACCCCACAGACCCCCAAAGCTTGACCCCTGTTGACATCTGGCTCACCCTGTCCACTTTTGGATGTACTATATTGGCATCAGATCAGTGCTGCCTCTCTGTCATCCCACCTTGGCCTAGAAGCGATCTCTTCAAGATGTGACATGCACAGCCTCCCCCTAATGTGATTCCAGTGCACTTTCCCAGTTCCTGACATTACTTGACTCATACTTTGATGTTTTGACTGTCTTTGACTCACCTATTGCCAATACTTACCAATCTTTTGACTTTGCTTACTGATCCTTTGCCTTTTGGCTTGCTAATCCTTACCAATGCTTACCAATGCTTTCCAAGACAATTACCCATTGCTTACATTCCTTACTCATCAGTTACCAATCACTTACCAAGTGTTTGCACCTTGTTTTCCATGGGCAACACCCCTGTACTGTATATAAATCACTGTACTTAGATAGCAAAAAAAAGAGAAGATGTCAGAGAGCCCCTCTTGCTCACATTTTATCATCACTCAGTAATTCATTCAGCAGCTTTGATAGTTGTGACTTTATTAAGGGTCTAACTATCACCTATTTCACTTATCCTTGTCTATCATCAATATTCTTCGCTCCAAGCCCTCCCTGAGCTCAGTGCAGCTTAGGACATCAAATTAAGTCACCATCCATCCTTCTGTAGGCTGACAGCAGTCTACCCTATCACTTTATATCACATTCTTGCTCCCTCTTTGTCAGGAGCACCCCCAACCCTCAGCACTCATCTTTGAGTGTTGTAGCTCACAAAAACCCACCAAAATCAAAGGTTCTACCATCTAGGTACTGCATAGGCTCACCACCACTCACTCCTTTTTGTCTTTTGTGTTGGTTTTGGTTGGTTTTCACCACTGAACCACACCTTGACTCACACCATCCTGGTATGTTACACCCTTGTTGCAACATCAAGGCAGGCCTGCCTATCATAACATGGATAGGGTCACAACATAAGGACAGGCCTGTCTATGATTAGAATACAAAGTTGGCAACATGTGGACAGGCCTGGGAGTAATATCATTTATGGTGTCACAACATCTAGACAGGCCCATGCATAATAAGCCATACCCCTGTCACAACATAAAGATGGGCACATCACTAGTATCATTTAATAGAGTCACAACATAAGGTCAGGCCCATCAGTAGTATTATGCAACATATGGATGGGCCTGTCCACAGTAAGATATACCTCTGACAAGACATAAAGACAGGCCTGTCAGTAATCTCATGTATAGCATCACAACATATGGACAGGCCCTTCAGTAATATTATTTATATTGTCACAACATAAAGATGGGCCCATCAGTAATCTCATGCATAGCATCACAACATATGGACAGGCCCTTCAGTAGTATTATTTATATCATCACAACATATGGGTGGGCCCCCAGTAAGATGTACCCTGTCAAAACATAAAGATGGGCCCATCACTAATATCATTTAATAGAGTCACAACATATGGATGGGCCCATCCACAGTAAGATGTACCTCTGACAAAACATAAAGATGGGCCTGTCAGTAATCTCATGTATAGCATCACAACATATGGGCAGGCCCTTCAGTAGTATTATTTATATTGTCAAAACATATGGGTGGGCCCAGCCCCAGTAAGATGTACCCTGTCGAAACATAAAGATGGGCCCATCAGTAATGCTGTTTAATAGTGTCACAACA